CAGTTTGAATTTTTGTTTTTTCTTTTTTGGGGGAAGAAAAGATTAAAAAGCTCCAGAAGTAATGTCATTCTGTGTGTGTGCGAGAAGAGGGTAGTGATGGTGGAGGCGAGCAACAGAAAGAGAGAGGGAACGATTGATAGGATGAAAGGAAAAATATGTGTGTACACCAGTCATTTACTGCTAGGTAGGCATTACAAAAAAGAAATACAAAGAATCACCATGTGCCATTAAATGGAAGTGAAATACCAACACTGGGGTCAGAGACACAGTCAAGAAGACAACTGCGGTGGTCCCAGAGAAAGAAGATAAAGACCCACACTGCTACGGAGGCACTGCAAGGATGGAGAAATGGATGGACTTGAAAGATACTTAGAGGGAATTGACAGGACACTGTCATTATAGTTACTGAATTGCTGTGAGGAGCTTGGGGATAAACACGGTTTCTGAGATTCTGTCTTGAGGTTGTACCTTGAGTGTTCCACCCAACTGCATGGGTGGAACCACTTACTTGCTTGAGGATACTCTGGGGTCACAGAGGAGGAACGTGGGTACCATGTGATTGCTCAGTGGCTCAAATCCTAACCCCAGGGATCCCAAGGACTCTGAATATAGGCAGTACCTTAGCTCCAAACACATCTCCCAAAAGAATCTTTGGACAGATTTCCAGAGTTTTTTTTTTTTTCAGGATTCATGCCCCCTTACATCTGCTTACAGACTCATTAATCTATGCAGCTTACTTTGGATCGGGGCGGTTGGCATTATGGATTTGTTAATTGCTGATACAATGTACTTTCTATGCAGGCCATATGTGAAGAGCAGCACTGGCATTCAAGAAATGTTAAATAATAATGTAAATGAGAAAATTTTCCAATCCCAATAATAAAGGGATCCAAGGAACATTGACGCAACTTGCAATCATCAGAGCTGTTTGATTGCCTTGTCACTGTGGGACAGTGACCAAAGTGATGCAAATCTAAATGTCATCTAGAAAGAATACTAAAAATATTATGGTGAAAATTAAGTACTGCAACCTTAGGAGCTGATTTAAAAATGAGAGATATAGCAATTTACATCTGTGGATTTTATAATCGCCAAATGCAACCAGCTGAACACGCTCATATTTTTTCTTTCCCTCTCTCTTTTGAGAAAATGGGTTCAGTTTTAAAGAGCTGGCCCAAACTAATGTTCTCTCCATCAATGTGTCTTAAACTTTGCTACAGGTTAAGAACACTTCAGATTATTAATTCATAACATTCCAGATCAATTAAATCAGATTCTCTGCAGGTGGGGTCAGGCATTAGGTATGTTTCCCATCCCCAAGAGATTCTGATGCACAGCCATGTTTGATGATCAAGATCTTAAGTAAATGTCCCCTGAAAACCAAATGCCTTACAACAATGGTGGTGGTTGGGCGGCCGGGGCTTATTCAAAATGCAGATTCCCAACTCCATCTAAGATTTGCTCAATCCAATTATTTGAGGATGGGACCTTGTACTCTGCATTTTAACACTAGGTCCACACTACATAGTGGGAGAAGCACTACACCCATGTGCACCCATGTAAAATCAGTAGTGGCAGCTGTTGTCTGTAGACACAGAATAAGTCTGTTGGAAAGAAAAAAGGTTCAAGGAAAGAGGAAAAATGTCACCCTGTCACCAGAGAGTTTGGTTTAAAACAGGGCTTCTAGGCTTTGGCTCCAGTGATATTTTGGGCAGAAGACTGGTTCTCTTGTACCTCACAGGGTCTTAAGCATTTACCTGCCCTCTGCCTCCTGGATCACAAGAGCATCACCCCTTTCCTACCCCTGCAGCTGTGGGAATCGGAAATGTCTCCAGACATTTCCACACATCCTTGGTGGCGGAAATCAGCCCCAGTTAAGAAGCACTATTCTCAAAGATTTCAAACATGTGAATGGTCCCTTCAGTATTTCTCACCTCCTAGAATTATGAACAGAAAACAAACATTGCCCTGTGTGGACGTGCCTGCTTTGGTTAGACTGTTTGCTTACTTTTTACTAAGACATGTGGTACAAACTTCTAAAGCAGATACAGGAAACTCAGTCATGGCACCTGAGCTGTCTCTAATAATTTAGAGCTGGAGCAAGGCATGGCTCACCACCTCCCTTTAGGGCTGGGGAATTTATAAAAGGTAAAAATTTTTTTAACCTAATATGAAGCTAGTTGTGAGACAACAACAATGGGAATGGGCTTTGCTGTTCAGTTAAATTCAATTAAAGGGTAATTTTTTTTTTACATGAGTCATGAATTCCTTTTTAATCTGGGGAAAGGAATAGATAATATCTGCACATTGCAAATGGCGGTTGTGTAGGTGAAAAGGGTTAGGAACATAGTTTTCTCCAAAGCAAAGGCTATTAATTAGTGTTCAGAGGAGACTCTCCCTTTCCATGCATCTAAAACTAGACAGACTGGCTTCCTCTGTAAGATGACAGTTACCAGGTGGGTCAAATTGGCAATGGCCATCTTTAAGCCCCAAAGTAATAACTCTTTAACTAATTCAGATGACTGCTGTATTGTCTTACTAGTAAATGCTGAAACACTTATCAAAATGGTTAAAAATGGTATCTCACACCATATACAAAGACTAATCATGGATGATCAATGCAAGATAGAGTGATTCAAAATGCAAGCTTTGAAGTCAGAATGTTCAAGTTTCAAAAAGGCTCAGGCAATTATTTGTTATAGGGCATCAGGCAAGTGAGTGAATTAATCTGAACCCCAATTTCTTCACCTACTGGATGAGAGCAATAACAATATTTACAGGGATATAAGGACAAAATGAGGTAACTATATGTCATAGCACCTCACACAGTGCCTGGCATATGGCAACCACTTACTACACGATAGTGATTATTCTTATTTTAACTGAACTCTATTGGTAGAATCTGACAATACCTATTTGATTTGATATTATAACCCACCAAAGAGAATTTTAGAGGCTAAAGGATTGTTGAAGATACTACGATTCAGTCTGTTCATTTCACAGTTGAGAAAACTGAGGCACAGAGATGGGATATGGGGGCAGGTGGTGTGGTACAGTGGCAGAAGCTGCTGCCTGAGGTGCCAGGATCCCAGAATGGAGCACTGGTCACAGTACCAGCTACTCTTCTTCTGATCCAGATTCCTGCTAATGTACCTTGGAAAGCAGTAGAAGATGGCCCAAATACATGCACCTCTGCCACCCATGTGCGAGACCCAGAGTTCTGGATTTCTGGCTTCAGCCTGGATCAGTGTCAGATGTTCCGGCCATTTGAGGAGTGAACCAGAAATGGAAGATCTGTCTATTTCTCCCTTTCTGTCACTCTACTGCCACATACATAATAAGAAAATCTTTAAAATGGGATATGACCCTCCCACACTGATGCTGAATACGTTCTAGTATTCTGGTCTTCAGAATCTAAGTACAGTGTATATAACACAACGAGACAGAACTGTGGACTTAGAATATTTGGGTTTGCCACTTACATCTACAGATATTCAGTGTTATCATCTGTAAAATGGATTTAAGCATAGCTAGGCTGAAAATTTATAACAACATAATGTTTGACAGCATTTTGTAAACTCCAGAATACTACATAAGTGATCTTAATATTGTGATTTATCCTTTATTAAAACAAAATGCAACACGGGCATCGGTTGTGAAACACTCATGAGATGCTCAAAGTACCAGTTCAGATCTTTTGGAATAGCTCCTCAGGCCATGGAAAATAGTTGAGGCTTGAGCAAGTGTAGCCTTTCAGCAGTAGCCACCTGCTCTCTGCTCCACATTGATGTTGAGCATTGCAAAAGCAGCACCTTGGACAGCAACCAGGGCTGCTTCCTCTCTGAAGGGCTTCTGTCATACCTGAACTTCATGCACTTTCAACATAGTCGACATACACTCCTATTGACTGCAAGTTGCCATGCAGTTTGACTGTTAACAGAAAAACACAAGGAGAAACTCCACCCCTACATACTGAGGTTAAGGAGCAGGGTGACCACACAGATTCAGGGTTTTCTTTGACCTTCCCTATTGGAACTGCAAATACTGACTGACAGCCTGCCACATTCTCTAGAAAGCAAAAGTCTGCATTTTAACCTGGTCTGTCTACAGGTGCACTATACACATTTCAGGGTTTAGAAACATTTAGTGGAAAAATTCATTCGACAGCAAAAAGCACACATACTTGCAAATTCTGGGTAGCCTTGCAATGCCAGGATCAGAATCATCAGTTCCAAAACCCCAATAAGAAAACATCACAGTGTTAATGACAAATAGGGCAACTGAAGAAAGATATAAGGAAAATGCTGGAAATTATTAGTTTATAAGGGGAAATAGGGCTCTCATTTGCCAATTTATTAATTCACAAAGAGAGCATCCCTCAAGGACATAGGCATCCAGGCAAAATTCTAAAACTGAAAAGTGACTTGAAGGTGACTTCATAATATGTGATTATATAAAGAACCATTAATTTAGTGATAAACTTAATTCTGTGTCAATATTATCCTTGTAAATCATTATGAGATGATTTCTCTTCATGAGGTGACTGTAACTGAGGGGGTTTTGCTGAACATGATAGAGCTGCTATAAATGTATAGGCCCATCTGACACCAGCCCATTTTACTTGCTCCTTAAACATAATTTCAAAATTATAAAGTATGGGTTGCTTATTATGAATGACTTGGTAAGGTACCAGGCCCCTCACTAGATGCCACTAAAAAAGCAATCTGACTCACAAGTCTGTTTACATTTTGCTCAATTAGTCTTTTCAATATGAACATGTTTTAAAAGTCACTAAACACCTGACTCAAATTCAGTCCCAATATACAGTGTTTTTGCCCATTGCTAGGTTTTTTTTTAAATTGCACCCTTAAAGGAACAGAGACTTCAGGAACACAAAACAATTACTGTTTGCAAAGGTGGAAGGGGTGGCATGGATGGAGACATGGAGAAAGGTCAAAGACATTGGAAAAATACAAGCCAAACCACATGTGATTTCTTACCTTTTGGGCTCCTGATTCGCCTGGATTTTGAAATCTTTTCTTTTTTTAGATTCCTTTTTGGTATCTTTTTTAGCCTCTGGTTCAGGTGAGGAGGGAGTTTTGCTCCCTTCAGGATCTGTGTTTGGTGTCAGCCCACTAAGATACACATGCATTTGTTGACTTTTGAGAGGGGTGGTCGGACGAGGCATGCAGACAGGGTGGCCAGCCATAGGAGAATCAAGAGCACACAGGCATGCACAAACAAAATAAAGAAAAAGAAGAATGCATCAAAAAGCAGGAGCAAATGCATTCAAACTAAAAGAATAAGCAAAAAAGAGATGCAAACTTGCATAAGGAAAATCAGAACTGAAGAGAAAATAAGAAATCCAAAACTGTTTCCATGACAAGATGTATAAACCTAACTGTGAATCAAGTGGCAGTCTTACAATATGAAATCCAGACAATGTGTATCATAATTCATGATGATGTTTACCAGGGAGTTTACAAAAACACTTCATTATTTTATAACACTTTCTTATTCAGTAACATATGTAGAATACAGTGTGACAACCCAGAGAATATAATGCAACTTCTCTCTCTCTCTCTTTAAAGAATTCAGTCCAAGAGGCTGTAACAGATAGTCATCAAAGTGTACATATTTACAAAAAGCAGCATTATGCATAGATACCCCTCAGGTATCAGAATTTTTATGAATATCTTTTATGCAAATAAAAGGTCACACGCTCTGGGCTACTGAACCTGATAACAATGGGAGGTGGCGATAACCTAGCTGCCTGTTAAATATTCAAACCTACTACACTATTGTTACCCAGCTCTAAATGTAGAAATTGTAGCTCATAAGAAGTCAACCAGAAGTAGAGAAAGGAAAAGCATCAAACAAAGCCCAAAGCTATTTCAGAGTGGGGAATCTTGCAAAGATAAAGATGACTGGCATAGTTCTGATTTAAAAAGAACCCAGTTAACTCTAGATTCCAGCAAATGTTCACTTCCCTGGGACACTGCCTTTCTAATCTGAGGCTGAGTTTCAGACGGCCCCCCTAACCCCCAAACCCACCCCAGGTTGCCCTGCGTGTGCCTGCCCTGGCTGTTGGTAGAGGTGCTTTGGGATCGTGCAGGTTTAGCTTCATACCAATGCAAAACTATATACATTGGGATAGTAAGCTGACTGTGGCAGTGTGGAAATTTATTCCGTGTCTCCAGAGCCAAATGGCAACGTTCTTAAATTATTTACTGCTTTGCATTATTCAGAACGTGGATCTTTTCCTCCAGGAGCTGAGCAAGGTCTAAAGAAAGAGAGTGCTGAGTGTGGAGTCAGGAGACTTCACGTTTGGTCTCATCTGTAACATCTATAAAAATGATGGGGCTGTGATTCTGTGATCTCTACCGTTCTTCCCACCTCCAGGGTTCAGTTCCAACTGTTATCATCAGCATCTTTGCCTACCAGCTCCACCTAGCCTGCTTTAGCTCTTGAAGTGTGGTTGGCTTCCTCCTTCCGCAGGACATTTGTACATGCTGTTCCTTTTGCCTGGAACCACTCAACTCCTACACATGCTTCAGTTCTCAGCACCAGCACCGTCTCCTTGAGCAGGGCCTCCCTCCCATCCTGTCACTCCATCTGAGTCATGTTCCCTTACTAAATTCTATCTTGGAATTTGCTTCCTTTTCCAATCTAAATGAAACATCCACCTGACTGTAACTCCGCCTTTGTGTGGGGCCTGTTTTTCACTCACCATATAACCTGAGTGTGTCTGACACTAAGTAAACAATCATTAAATTCTGATGAAAGTAATGACATCAATAATGATGAAAGTAGATATTGATTATACACTTGTCATGTTCCGGGCATTTTACTCAGTTCTTTAGACCCATTTGTGTTCTATCAACAACCCTATGAGGATATTATCAGCCCCATTTCACAGAGGAGAAAACTGGTACCACTGGTTTAATTCCCAACCAGAATCTTAGAGGAGCCATGATTTGAATCCAGATTGGTCTGTTCTCAGGGATTATTCTATTAGTCCTATTTGCCATTTCTTTGAAGTCTCTTGAAAGATGAATGAATGAAGCTAGACCTTGTGCTCTTTGTAGTTGTGTTGTATGTGTGCATGTGTGTACTACTCAGGGAACAAGATGGAGAGTTGGGGATTATCCTAAAAGCAGGACCAGCAAAAAAAAAAAACAAAAGAAAACAAAACAAAAAACCCACTGCTAGGGGCCAGCATTGTGTTATAGCAGGTAAAGTCTTTGCCTACAGTGCTGGCATCACATATGGTTCAAGTCCCAGCTGCTCCACCTCCAGTCCAGCTCCCTACTAATGGCCTGGGAAAAAGCAGCGGAAGATGGCCCAAGGTTTTGGGCACCTGCACCCATATGGGAGACCCAGATGAAGCTCCTGGCTTTGGCCCTACCCAGCCCATCTTGTTGCAGCCATTGGGGGAATGAACCAGTGGATTGAAGATTTCTTTGTTTCTCTCTCTCACTCTGTAACTCTGACTTTCAAATAAATAAAGACAATCTTTAAAAAAACCAAAACCACGGTTGGTGTTTTGTTTAGAACAAGACCTCTACACATGTGCTCACCTATTCCCATGGACGTGCGATGCGCAGAAGGCAAAGCTGTAGTGAAGGAGGGTGGGGTCGATCATGGCGCCATTTTCCGCCCGTTCAAGCAAGTCTCTGAGGTAGCAGAGATGTCGGTGGCAGCCGCGGACTCCATTTCGGGCACAATACTCGTCTAGTACAAACACCTGGCCAGGACTGAACCAGCCCTGCATGGGGAATAAAGCAGAGACTTTCTTTTAAATACAGGTTGTTTCCTGGGAGGAGCTGGAGAAGGGGACGAAACGCAGCCTGAGCTAAGACCTCCTGACTGCTCAATCAGTGCCAGCCCCTGCGATACCCACCACGGTGGGGAGTGTCTGGTTCAATCTCTGCAACAGACCTGTGTGGTCGGTTCTGTTCTCCCCACCTTACAGATGGGAAAGCGAGTTCAGGGAGGACACAAAGGTTCCTAGTTGGGGCCAGCATTGTGGCATAACCATTAAATGCTGCCGCCTGCGACACCACCATCAAATGCTGGTTTGAGTCCTGGCTGCTCCACTTGTGATCTAGCTCCCTGCTGATGTGCCTGGAAAAGCAGCACAAGGTGGCCCAGGTCCTTAGGCTCCTGCACCCACATGGGAGACCTGGGGGAAGCTCCTGGCTCTGGACTGGCCCAGATCCGGCTATTATGGCCATTTGGGGTGTGAACCAATGGATGAAAGACCTCCCTCTCTCTCTCTGTGTCTCTCCCTCCCTCTTTCTGTAGCTCTGCCTTTCAAATTAATAAATAAATCTTTTTTAAGAAGTTCCTAGTAAGTGGTGGAGCTGCATTAGCAGCAAGGTTCCAGAAAGCCTGCCAGCCACAGCTCTGCCACTGATCCGTACACCACCCTGGGGCACGGTGTGCGTGGAAGGCAAAGCCCTGCCAACCGCTGAGCAGAAATCTCAACATCAGTGCTTTCAATTGGTGTAGTGCCTTACACTTGACCGAGAACTTTCAGTTGAGTCCTAGAGCAACCTTGTAAAGTACACGGAGAAGGCTCATTTTCATTTTATAGATCAGGGAATGGAAATCGGGTTGTTAAATGACTCACACAAATAATAAAAATCAGAGGCAGAACTCTTATCGAGCTGTCTTACTCGAGGTATTTTGCATTTTCTACTCTGGAGCACGAAGAAATATGAGGGAACCCTGAAACATTCAGGGAAAATAGAGTTAAAATTAAGTTTATTTTGGTCCAAAAATTGTTTGGAATTCATGCATACCAGAGGTCTCCAAAAAGTTCATGGAAAATGATTATGGCAATATGCATGGGTTTCAAAAATACTTTGCACCAAAATAAAGTTATCTTTTCATTCCATTTTCCGTTAACTTTTTGAAAGCCACCCACATGTTAGGGCTGAGATACATGCCAGAATTTCAGAAACCTTTTCACTTTAGGAGATTTTAAAAAATTTAATGATGGTATGTAATAATGTAACTCTCCAAAGAGAATGGCAGGTACAAGATTTCAAGTTGTGAATCATATATAATTCAATTAAGTTGAGAGAAGCTCCCTGTACCCTGGCTTAGAGTTTTGTTTCTCTCCTGGTAATTTTTTATTTGTTTCCTTAATATTTATTTGCTAGCTGCGAAAGCAGCCCAAACTCTTCTATGACACAGAACCTGCAGAGAACCTCTTATTAAGAACTAATTCGCTGCTATCTCTGCTATTCTCTGTAGAAAACAAGGTGCTTTGAAAGGCCAAATGACTTGTCCCTCCAAGGTACTCTTGGCCAGAGCCTGAAAGCAAACCATGCTTTCTGGACTGGGTGCTGTCTGAAGCAGGAAACAAACCAGTTTTGGTGTGCTGTGTTATAAGCTGGAAATCTAGGGCTATTTTGAGGAGGGTCTTGTCTGAGTCATCTTTTGAATACTGCTCCATCTTGGGAGAGAAAGGGCAAAAGGAGAGAGTGACTGGGGAACAGGGAGCGGCCCCGGAAGCCAGCACGGAAGGCCTTTGCAATAGTCTTATCTTGTATTAGGGATCTGGGGAATCTTCCATTGACAACACGCAGCTCAGGGACGCATCCAACCAAAGACGGCATCTTTCCTATTTCAAATTGTAAGTTACTGCAGAGGGCGGGAGAGTAGTCGAGGCAGTGGGCTGCCCCTATAGGCAACTTCTTTGCCACTCCATCTGCTACCCCAAATGCTAAATCTTAGAAACAACACTGCTGTGAAAGATTAAAATATATTTTCTACGACTCAGATGACACCAAGTCTTTTGTAGATGCCAAAATAGCTGCTTTGAAAAGAGTTGAAGAAATATCAATTAGGAACTCAGTCGAAGACACAGAAAAATTTATGTATCCCTGCTGGTCGGTCTCCAAAATCAACTGAAAAAAAGATTGTAATAATGAGAAAATGGAATATATAGAGGCAAGAGATAAGGTTCTTTTCATTTCTGTTACTTTTTGAAATTTTGGAATGATGACTAATACAGACAGGTATACAAATAGGGAAGGAAGCCGTTTTACGCTATTCATAATTAATTTTGAAATTTGGAGCAAATTTTTATGCCTATAAGTGACTAATAGCAAACAAGCTTCGATGTTTCATTCCTGTCTTAACATTTAGAAGGGATTTGTGAACTATCTTTTGTAGTAAATCTGAGCACCAAAGAAAATTATTTTAAAAATGATGATGTGAAAAAAGGCTTGAAAATAATATACCTCAAAAAAAATTCCTCAAGAGAATAGGAATTATATATAAAAGACAAGGATTTAAGCTCAGAGCTTACTCCTTAAAAGTTTCACAAATGCAATTTATGATTGTATGAATAACCACAGAATCGCAGGAAACATTTTTAAGAAAAACTGCTTTGCAATGCAAGGTAAGGTTTTTAATTTTTTTTTTTTTTTTTTTTTTTTTTTTTTTTTTTTTTTTTTTGCTCAAAGTGATGTATTCCTTTCCAACTTGGCAAAGTTCACATTCTTCTGGTGAACGGATTCTAAACCTGAGATAATCAATGAATCTTTTATGAGACATAGATTAATAAAATTATTCCACAACCCCGCTTCTGTTTTCTGTTTTTAAGGTAATTTTATCTACCATTTTTTTGTATTTTTATTTCTGGTACAGAAAAAATAAAGGAATTTAAAGTGAAAATCATTCAGAATAGAGTTAACATGTAACCATGTCATCTGGAAAAGAAAGAGGCTTTTCCTTTCCTAATGTGTTAGCCTTTGTTCATTATATAACATTACTACTACATAGACATATTGACTCCAGTATTTGGAGTCGGACACGAGAATTTTCCTCAGTGTAAAATCATTCCATCATTTCTCCTCACCTTTACCATCTGTAAGGTGGAATTAGTAATGTGTCTTTAAGAAATGAAGCAACAATTTATGATTCGCAGAAGGAAATAAATTGGGTCTTTTTTCGGCTCTTGATTTCGGTGATTTAAAACCAAAGATACTCCTTCAAAAGTCCAATAAAGACCTCACAACAGTCCTCTGAATTAAAATAACTGGAATCTACATTTAAAATAGGATTTCAGGAAATGGTGGCATTCGGGCTGGAGAGCCGGATTTCCACATGTTCTAAAACGCCATTAAAAAAAAAAAATTCCCCCAAAGGGTGAAAAAACACTCTGGATATTATGTAGAAAAAAGAGAAGCCATCTAAACAAACAAACCCGGATGAAGGGAGGAGAGGAAAAGTGAAGTGGAGTTTATTTACAAATCGTTTTAGTCTTTAAAAGATACACAAAGCACAAGCTCTGGGAAGGAAAGGGAGGGGCTTCCTGAACTCAGAGATACCCAGGCAATTTTTTACAAGTTCTCCACAAGCAGGTGCCAAACTTGATTACCCCTCTTGGGAATATTTCTCAAGTAGCAGCTGAAAAGGGGGAAGCTGGGGAATTGGATCTGTCTCTGCTGATAACTTCCTCCCGCTCAGTCTTGTTTCCTTGGTAAGTAAAACTATCTCGACCCAGCAAATTGAGAACACATTTATAATTGTTAAAGGGACTCTGGAATGGGGGAAAAGAGCTTCCAACATAAAGGTAGAGAAATGCTTGAATTAAAAAAAAAATGTTATGTTTAAATTGCTGTAGACCAAAGAATATACTTGCCAGGCAAGAATAGGAATCATTAAGTCTGTGATCCAAAGTAAGGCGTTGCACCATCTCAAAGAGGGAAGCGTGGTCAAAGTTACAGGGGTTGGAAGAGATAAATTCATCCATGCCATGCTTTTGAGCTCTATCTGCGTCTGTTCATTTATACATGTAGAGAGAGACACAATTTAGAGAAACACATCACATTTTCTTTGACATTTCAAATACACAGGAATTCACTAGGCATAACGAACGTTAGCTGTTTCCCCACTGCCTCCCACCAACATCCCCGAGATATTCATTTTACCTCCCATTGTCAACTTGCATCACTCACTGGTGAGTTTATTGCATTTAGGCAAAAATATATTGGCATCAACATGTTTATCAAATGATCACAATTCCAGTGCACTTATGTTGTTCTTTAAAACCTAAGCACGAGACTGTAACTTCGCCTGCATTTCACCAAACACTGAAACCAGATCGGATCTTTGCCTGTTTAGCTTTGTAGATTTTTAATAGATTCTGCCATTCCAGTGGTTATGTCTAGAGCAATTTCTCTGCAATTACTGGGATTATCTGGAAACAGGGTTATGCTGATTTTCAGCAAAATGACAATATTTGTGTCTTCCCCTTCCAAATCCACATTGCCAATTTGATTTCACAAAAGGTTGGAGTCCCCACCCTCCAAAATTAAAAAATAACAAAAATAAGGTTTTTCACTGAAGCCTGGAGATTATGTGAAATGCATATGTAGTTTGTGATAGCCTTGTGATGTGCTTCCTCGGTCAGCAAAGCTTATGAAACAGACAAACAGAAATCTACTCAGCAAAGGCTATGATCTGCCATTTATTGTGAATTAATAGTCTCAATGTATTCACACTTTTCCTTACAGGGTGAAGGTTGTAGGCAAAACCTCCTAAGGGCTAACTAATTAATCTCAACATGTGTAACTAAAATATACTCTACTCAAATGGCAAAACAACTCGGGATTCTTCTCGAGTGTGACCAAGCAAACCTTAAAGAGGTAGGAATGAAGACCCTTTCCTTGCAGGAATCGGCTACCCTAACTCATCTTTCCTCACTCTCCTGATCTGCAGGCTATGAAGAAAAAGCGTGTTATATCAGAGAGCAAGATTTTGTTCATCCCCTTGCATGAATCCACCATTGACTGGAATACGGGGACCTGCCAGGAAGCAGTGATGCTGTCACGGCTGGGAGAAGATGGATTTCTGACTTGGGAGGGGATTTAGATAATATGTTCACACATGGACTCTGGCCCAGGCATGTTTTTTGTTTCCTATGCTCAGGCTATGGCTGTAAGCTTGGGTTATAGGTGTCAGTGTGTCTTTAAAATGATGATTTCTCCTCATATTTCTACTGATTTTGTGCATTGTTCAAAGCTAATTGCACGAGAGACCACATGTCTGCCTTCTTAGTCTGAGATTTTTTAAATCTTCTGTCATTTTCCGGAGAAGCAGCAAGTGGTCAGTGTTGGAACAAGATGTGTTGTTTATGCCCAAGAGACACAGAAGGAGTGGTTTCCAGAAGACACGTTGACGAACGTGTGTTTTATCAGCCCATTAGGCTGATTAAACACACGCATTTGAAAGTTTTTTTTTTTTTTTTTTTTTAAACAGAGAATCTCAAAGATCCTCTTGGCTGTGTTAACCGTGTCAGATCCATCCTTCCTGGGTGAGGGTGGGCACTGCACTGGGGAGCAGGGTGCCTTGGTTTGGTCATGTGGTCTCCGCCATATCACATGGCTCCTTTGACTTAGGATGGCTGGGAAGATGGGGTGCAAAAGCCAGCTGCTTCTAGGGCAGGTGTGTGATGCCTCTGGCCCAAGGCAAGCGTCTGCAACCTGCTCCAACCTGCGCTCTTCCCTGGCATAAAGACGCTTGTGACATTCCAGAAGCCACCTCTCCATCTCCTCTGACAGATGGTGCCCTCTCACCTCCATTCTTTCAGCCGTAGGTCAATTTGATTCAGGAAAAGACTAGCAGGGGGCAGGGGTCCATACACATGGCTCATCCTGTTTTGCTTTGCTCTCATGAAACGTCCCTCCAGTCCGTCTCCCCATTTGAACATAGAGATCAGGCATTCTGGCTAGCATCAGTTCTTCTTCCTCTTTTTTTTTTTTTTTTTGCTCTTAGTTTCTTGGAAGAAGGTGCAAACTGACAAACGTGCTGAGGCCTTACTATACCAGCCTGACTTGGGTATTTTGTTGCTCTTCCATGAACTTGGTCATTTAGATCAGAGAAGGGGCACTCATTTCAAGTCCCTTACACTTTATTTGTTGAACCTCTTGAAGACTAACGATCTCTTTTCCTGGCTACCCTACTCAGGAAATAAACCCAAAAGGTCAGCTTGGCTCCTCAGCAGAGCCCTGGATCTACCGACCCACGCCCTGCCCCTCCAGGTATCACAAGGGCTCAATGTATTCAGCTGCACTCTGCACATGTTTTGGCTAAGAATAAGTCTGAATAACAATTTCATTATTTTTTTTTTACTGGCATTAGAATGTAATGCTGAAAATCAGCCTCCCCATTTTTTCCTATAAAGTAACCCTATCAAAGCAGAACTTCCTGACCCCGGTTTTCCTCCTTCTCCCTGCCCACATATAGAATGAGCTTGGGACTGGACTTCAGAGGGCTAGGTCCTAACTTGAGTTCAGTAGGAGGTCAAGTGTGCCCTTTCCCTCTCTCAGCCTCGGTTCTGCTCTGTCAAAGAACTGACCTCGCTGTTCCCTTCAATGCTGTCATGGGTCGCAATTTAATGATTCTTAGTATTGTCTGCACACCTGTAAGAGTGAGATGGAGCTTTAATATAGGAGGAATTTCTAACGAGTGAAATGAGCAGCCCCTGGATTTTTACTTGAACAAAATGATCATGTATTCAGAATTAGGCTTATTATCTTAATAGTTCTAACAATGCAACAGCGTGGGCTTACAGGGGTGCCTGGCTCCCATGAAATCCATAAATCTCATTGAGCTTATCATATTAAGAAGAAGTAGGGATAGGCCAGCAGTGCTGTATCTAAGTGTTAATGAAAAAGATTCAATTTTTAGGGTTTGTATTTTTTGTTCTCTGCTCTATATCTAATGCCCAAAACAGTACCTTGTACACAGTAGGCACTTCATGCACATCTGTTAACAAAACTTGTTGACTTAATCAAAATGAATCCATTTTCTACCAATAAGCCTTTCAGAAATTTCTTGATTTTATGGAACATTGAAAGACTCAATTCCCTGGGAGCAGTTTATTTGATGGGAGTGGGGGCAGTAGGTGGTTAAGTGGGTGGGTTTCCAGAAGAGTCATAGAGATGAGACTTGAGGCTATCTTGCTGTTACCAGGTTTGTGATGGGAGGCAGGGTGCTTAATGCTTCGGAGCCTCCTTGTCCTCATTTGCAATTTGGAGATGTTCAAGTTGACTCCCAGAGGACCTAATGAGAAGTGACCAGAAAATTCCTGGCACCTGCTACATAGTGAGGGCAGGCAGGTTTCTTAGGGCTCCCCAAAGCAGTTGGTTTTAAGCTGTGAGTCAAGGATTTTCCTTTGCTTAAACCTATTTTTCTAGGAACCTCAGAGTCCTTCCAAATCGCTCTGCTTTGTTTCATCTCTGTCCCCTATAACCAATTCCTCTGTCCTGGCCCTATGTTATTGCTGGGTTAAGTACCAGTTGTTTCATGGTCAGGAAACATGTGGGGTTTTTAAAAAATACATGGAAAACATTTATTATGCATGGATTTCAAAATATTTTACACCAAAGTAAACCTATCTTTTCACTTTATTTTTTCCACTGAGCCTTTTGAAATACCTCTTATGTACCATAGAATTCCTTGGTAGAAAATAGGTTCCCGGTGGGCAAATTTCCTATCTTTTACTCTATGCCTCTGCCCCCAACCCCAGCAGCTCCTGGAGGAGCCAGACCCTACAAGGGTAGTTATTAACTCACTGACTCCGACACCTTCAGCCCAGGCAACTTCTTGTTGACTTTATTAAGGAGGCACACACATGGGGATTCAGATGGTATCTTGCAAATCCAAAAGTGGGAACATGTGCTCTTTGGGAAAAAAAAAGTCTTATAGAAGGAAACAGAATTCTAGGTGCAGGTGTCTTTGGATACTATTCAGATTGTCTGCCTGTGTCTCCATACATGTCTAGGACCATATGCATTACATATGTTGTCTATTTTAAAATAAAACACTGCAGTGGTCCAGCTGTTCCAAATTCTGTTTCAAAGAACTTGTGGGCGCTTCCCAAGCAACACCATATAGTCATTCTTGCACTGTCCCAGTCTGTTCAGTGCCGAGCAAGATTAAATGAACGCTCCTTGCAATTCCATTTTCCCCTGTACAAACAATTGGACTTGGTTGATTAAAAAAGAGAAAACTTCAGTGTTGACATTAGCAGGGGAGAAAAGCCCAGTGCAAAATAGGAGAGAGTCAATTCCTGAATTCGGGACACTGGAATCACTTTCTTTGCCAATATTTGGCACGTGTCAAGAGAAAGAAAATGAATTCGAACATTAGGTTGGGCAAAAGAGAATTAGGAGGGGAAGGTGATTGCTTAAAACCTCAGGGATGTTTGGCTCATCTCTTGCTTGGGGAGAGGCACAGGAATGCTCTTTTTCATTAGCATATATATTTTTCATTAGCATGTATATAATATTTCCTTAAAAATCAGGGATTGACTACATTTTAAGAATTATCTGAAACAAATTTTTCACATCTTAGGAAGTAGTTTCTGAGTTGTCCTTGACCTGGCAAGGGCTCTAAATATAACTGAGAGGACTATGGGATTGTATAGGCTGTGCAGCGAGGGCATAATCCAACACACTTTGCAAATAATGCTACCTGTTCTACTTCTGATATTTAATTGCAGAAGAATTTTGACACCCTTTATGACATGGGCACCAGGGGCTGACTTCAAACTGAATGTAGCTGAATGCAGCTGAGATGGCTCCCCATGCTACATTAGGAAACAGAAAGCGCTGTCCATGGTATTCATGACACCAAAGCAGGCAGATGGACATGCAGACTGACAGAAAGCAGGTGTGCTTTTCCGTGGAAACGAGTCAAAACCTTTATCCCAAGCTTGCTGAGATACAGTTTTTGGTGTGAAATCAAGGGAAATTTGGGAAAACAGTAGTTCC